TAAAAAAACAACAACAATAATTACAGCTACTATTTAATTCTGAAAACAATCCTGGGAGGTAGAGCTTATTCAGGAGAGGTCCACCATTAACTTTCTGTAAGTGTAAGTGTATGGGCAAGTCAAGGGGCAGGGATGGTTCAGCAGTAGAATTCTCACCTGCCATGCTGGAGACCCAGCCAATGTTCCACATGTCCTGCCCAAATAATCATGGGGATGGCACAGGACTGACAGCAGCTAACAACAACAATGTGCAAGTTTCCTTATTTCTATCAAATAAAGATAAATGGTTAAAAGTATGGACTACAGAATCAGACTACTCTTGTTTGATCCTGGGGGCCACTTAGGTATGTTACCTTGTTTGTATATTACCTAACCTCTTTGTGCTTCAGTTTCTCATCATGAAAGTGGATATAATAATAATAATATCTACCTCCTAGGAGTTATTCTAAGAATAAAAAGAGAATATTTATATCTTAGACCAATGCTTGAGACATAAGAGCTCAATTGCTATTATTATTATTGTTATTACCTATAATCATCCTTGTGATGATTGTTGTATGTGGTCTTGAAAAAATTTAACATACTTGGCAAATGTGAAGGATTAGGGATTTTAAAACAGTGATCTTATCCAAAACCTGTCAGTTCTCTGGTTCCTGGACTTAAAGGGATGCGTTTCATGTGTGTAACGTCTCTCTCAATTTCTCAGCTACTGTTTTGTAAACAGTTCCCACTTACAGCACACTTGTATTTGCTCCCAGATGTATCCTATGGCTAGAGACATTTAGGGTAAAAAAAAACTGTCTTTCTAGTTCTGGGAGACTATGTAGGAGGTGGAGGCTCTGAGTTTAACTGAAATGTTTTGCCCCAGTGCTATCCTCAAAAGCTCCTACATTAGTGCTAGAGTGTTTTATGACTAGAAACCAAGCTTCTAGTTAATCTAATCAAGTGATGTTCAAACTTTAAAGCACATCAGCAAACCTAACACACTTATAAAACAAACTAACAAACAAAAAAACCCCATGCTAGAGCCCTAACTTAGATCTGTAGAACCAACTCTCCTGGGGTAGAGTCAGGGATTTGGATTTAATAACAACTGCTAAAGTTGTTAGGATAACACTAAGCTGCTGAAGCAAAATATAGCTGATTTAAGAATATAAATATTTATTTCTCTCTCATAAAACACTCTCAAGAGGAGCAGTTCAGGTTGGCAAGCTAGTTCACTTTATACAATCATTTGGGGATGTGGCTGCCTTCCGTTTTGCTGTTCAGGCCATCCCTAGGACGTTATCATCATCTGCACTCAAAATCACAGAGCAGGCTAGTCTGATGTGTGAAGACCGGGACCCAGACATAGCACACATTGCTTCTACTCACAAAGCCTGGGTCAGAAAGTCTGTCAGGGTAGCCCTGGCCTCCCTACTGCCTGGAGGGTGAGGAGGGTGAATTTGGGTGGACAACCTGAAAGCTTTGCCACAATGATAATGATGTACAACTAAGTCTGAGAACACAGATCCAATTCAAACTTCACATTTTTTATATAAAGAATTTGAGTCCTTGTGATGTAAAGCGACTTGCTTGAGGGCCCTGGAAAGGCAGTAAAACACTAGGATTTATCTATGACGTTGTAAAGGCTCTCCTTCCTTCAATACCGTCTAGCACTTGAGGCCAGGGACTGTCTTTCATTCCGGAATTGGTTAAGGGAATTATAGTCCTCTCAATGTTGGGAAAATAAAGGAATGATGGAGACAAGAAGGATGCCTCTCTTATGCTAAATGAACTTTCCCAGCATCACTTTGACAAATCATCACTCCATTCCCAATTTACTTTCTCCTACCTGTCTCTCCCTTCCATGGCCCGTCTTATTCTTGAGACTCTTTTATCACCTCATTTAATTCCCTCTGGTTTTTCTCCTACAGATACAGGGATACGACACATGTCTACCTCTCAGTTACTTTTTTTACAAGTGCAAGGGACACTTGTGGGCTATTTCTAGTCAGGTGGAGCTTGTGTGATTGAGCGAGTTGAGGTGATGCAGTGAGAATGGGAAAAGGAAGGGCATCGAGATAATCCCACCCTACAAATGAAAGGGGCACAGTGAGGTCTGTGGACTGTGAAGAGAGCAGCCTCGAAACGACAGAGCCCAGGTGGGTGCTGGAGACAGACTGGGTAAGATGAGAACAGAGCACTAGAGGCCTTGAAAGCCAGCCTCAGAAACTTAGGTGTGAAGCTACAAGACAAAAAAAGAGAGAGCAATCTATGGTTTGGCAGCAGAAAACTGACATTATGAAAACTTAATATTTTAAAATCTGAAATCCCTAGCTCATCATCTTTACGAGGAGCCTTAGGACACACATTATGTCAAGGGGGAGACAGGTTTAGAGGATAAGAAATGCTAGCACTCAGGAGCCCTGCTCTCCATGGCACCTCCACATTCAGCATCTTTCAGATTTAATAGTATGATTATGAGTCAAGTAGATACTGGGAGATCAGGGCACCAAAGAATTGGGACCTAGAGCTCTCAACTCCTTCAGAGAAGTAGGAAGGCTTGGTCTCAATTAAACCTCTAGTAAAGGATGCTCCTGGCCTAGAAATAGGTATATCTTCTGGGTCTTAGCTCTTCTTTCTTTGTGAAGGAAGAAGTCTGAACTAAATTCTGACCTAGAGTGGATTTGCTTTTTCTCACACAATCCAAAAAAATTCTCCTAGAGATCATATGAATATTAACTGAGGGACTGACTTGCCCGTCAGCTAGAGCTGGAACCCCTTCTGTAGGAAAGAAGTTACTTGAATTAGAACCAAGTTGGAACTCGAATTTGAGCTAAGTTGGAACCAAGAGAAACCTCTTGAATTGCTCTACCATGAATGGAATCATGGAACCTGGTGGTGTAGTGGTTAAGAGCTTGGCTGCTAACCAAAATGTCAGCAGTTCAAATCCACCAGCTGTTCCTTGGAAACTCTGTGGGCAGTTCTACTTTGTCCTATAGGGTCACTATGAGTCTGACCAACTCAACCGCACCTAACAACAGTGGGTGGAGCCCACTGTACTCCCCTTTTGGTGAGTGAGTTGTATCATCAGCCTCACAGCACGGAACTAATCCTGGACTGGAACCCAGTGAACACAGCACCCTTCCTGGGCCCTGGCTTCTCCTCCTGCAGAGAAGATACTATTGGTTCCCAGGCATTTCCCTGTGCCATTCTTTCCTCTCATTTCCAAGTACAAATTAAGTGCTAACTATGTACCTATTTGGCCAAGTCCTTAGTGATTGTTTGATTAAGCAGTCACCACACTAAGAAGAGAAGGAAACCCCAGCTAAAACGTTTTAAAAAGTACTGCTATCATGCTGTATATTTGTTGATTGCCAGAGTTTTGCAGTAGCAGTATAATAAGAATTCCACACCAAACATGAAAAAAAATCAGGAAAATTGACATATAAAGTATGATATACAACAAGAAAAATGTTACAATGATGTAACATTTATTTACATACACTTATTTAAAATTCAGTCTCAGAATGGAGGGAGGATGCAAGATAAGGAAACAGGAACATATAGGAGCAAATTAATGAACAAGATAACTGCCTATATTCTATGTAGTATTGAACCATGTTGTTGTTGTTAGGTGCTGTGGAGTTGGTTCCAACTCATAGCCACGCTATGTACAACAGAACGAAACACTGCCCAGTACTGCGCAATCTTCACAATTGTTGTAATGCTTGAACCCATTGTTGCAGCCACTGTGTCAATCCATCTCATTGAGGGTCTTCCTCTTTTTAACTGACCCTCCACTCTACCAAGCATGATGTCCTTCTCCAGGGACTGGTCCCTCCTGATAACATGTCCAAAGTATGTGAGATGAAATCTCCCCATCTTTGCTCCTAATGAACATTCTGGCTGTACCTCTTCCAAGACAGATTTGTTTGTTCTTCTGGCAGTACATGGTGTATTCAGTATTCTTCGCCAACACCATAATTCAAAAGTATCAATTCTTCTTTAGTCTTCCTTATTTATTGTCCAGCTTTCGCATGCATATGAGACGACTGAAAACACCATGGCTTGGAGCAGGCACAACTTAGTCCTTAAAATGATATATTTGCTTTTTAACTCTTTAAAGAGACTTTTGCAGCAGATTTGCCCAAAGCAATGTGTCGTTTAATTCCTTGACAGACTTATGAATAAACAACTGGTAGTAAAGAAAAGTTTACTACAATGTTAAAAAATAACCGAATTGAGGACAAATAGTACCTAACATTTGGCCTTAATTAGACTTCTTATTTTCATCTTTCTACCTCTTATATTTCTCTGTGGCTTGTCATTCCTTTCTCACAGCCCCCAGGGTATCAAGGCTATGCTTGGGTAAAAACTGCATTAAGATCTTAATTTATCTCCTTTATAGCAACTGTGAGATAGTTAGGGATGAGGGTAGAGGAACAAAGATTGCACAGGGCTGGAGTTGTTGACAGTGACTAAGAGTAACAGCTAAGCCAAATGTTGTTTTTCCTCTGGCATCTTCTAGAGGACAGACAGACCCACGGTGGCATGGTGGGTACTCTCATTTGTGTGAACGCATCAATGCACATTGTTTTTTAAAGAAATGCAGTGATAATAATGCCTTCCACATTCATCGACTGTATCTCTGAATAGTTTCAGTGGCAGTCCAACTAACTTTCAATTATCCACGTTCCCTTTGTGTCTTCTTCCCTTAATTCTGCCCTGTTGAGTGTACTCAGCTTCTTGGCTTTATAGCTAAGGATGGTTTGGTTCAGAGAAACTATGTGTGTGTGTGAGAGAGATAGAGAGAGAAAGTGAATGAAAATCTGAACTTCAGGAGCAGTTATAAATTCTAATTGAACTACTTACAGTTTTGGATTTTTCGCACAAGTTGTATAAATAATCAAGAGTCTACTATGGTGCTAGAGGGTAGATGGGAATAATAGAAGGAAAGAAATGAGAATGAATATTCCTTTGTTTAGAAAGACCCCAGTCTCAAAGCCCACTGGGATTTACAACTTAGAGACACTAACTAGCCAGCTCATTAGAGAATGACCTGTCAGCACTATCAACATTTTCTTTAATGAGGTAACACTGTGGTATTGGCATCTGGAGAATTGTTTTCCTGTAGTGAGCTGGCATATAGTGGTATGCAGTTCTGGGCTTTCATAACATCTTGGTTCCACCATATTGCCTCGAACCATATCAAGATTTGGTTCACATTTGCAACTGGGAATTTTGTGGATTCCATGGATCATTTCTGTGGAGCCATGGATGAAGTTATTTCTCAACTTCCATGATCTATTAGCTTCTGACACAATTCTCCAGACCACCACAGCATTACAATACTCCTTGCCATTAACTAGACTATTTTCCTTGGAAAAGTTATAATGTAACCTTCTGAGCGTCAATAATGAGGAAGACATAACATCCTTGGACATGCTGAGGCTGGTATTTTTATCAAACAGGGCTGAGTTCATGAATACCTCAATTGTCTGTTTTTCTTGGCCACTTTTTGCTATGTCATATTCCATCTCTTCCTCTGAAAATTCTTCTTTAATTATCTCCATTGTGCTTCCTGAGGTTCCCGCAAGAACCAACCCCAGATCCAGCAGTAACAGAGAAAAAGTCTCCATCTCAGATACAGTGTAATCTCTTCTGCAATAAAGATAAAAGGGGAAAGATAAAAACAAGGAGCAAATTAAGGAAACAGCTCTCTTTTCCTTATGTCAGTTTTCCCAGGATTTATCCCTACATGTAAGTTCATATACATGTATGGAACTAACATGTAGGAAAAAGTCAATCAGTAGTGGAGTCTGAAGATCCAGGTTCAAATCCACTTACAATTTATTCTACCTCATTTAACTTCTGTTTCCCCATCTGGACAAAAGGTGGGGGTGGGGGGTGGGGGGAACGGAGGTGAGAATTATATGAGATAATATGTTTAAAGTGCCTAGCACCAACTAGTTATTTCTCTTCCTTTTTTCCTTATCTATAATCTCATTGGTGGGGTCTATAATCTCACCATGGTGGAGTACAATTATCTCACCCAGCACATTCTTCACTATTATTACAGTCTCACACAGTACTTGCACATGACAGCCAACTTGACAAAAACACAATGTCATTTCCCCATCTCTCCTTTCCTTCCCGGCCCATTGTCAGTCATGGGATTTCTTTCTTTACCAGTTCCTTTGGCAAGTCGGACCTGTAGAGAATAATTCCAGTTTGTTGGAGGGCTAGAAATAAAATTGCATTTGTTTCCTGGGAGCTGCTGTTATTGGGTCTAACTGAGGGAAGGAGGGGCATGAAAGGGATGGATAGAATTGTACGAGACAGAAGGAGGAAACAATGTGGAACCAAGAACTCTCAGAGAACTGAACAAAGTGTCCATTTGACAAGTCAGAATCCCAATGCCTGAGGAGCTTGACTGCTTCCTCTTCTGTAAATCTTCCCTGTCTACTTTAACCCAAAGTGATTTTTCTTTTTTGTTTTTCTGAAGTACTACAGCAAAGATTATGTTGAACTTCATATTACATGATCTTTTACGTTTTTCTGGTTAGTTGATACATGTTAGTCTCTTCCCCCCTCTTATTAAGGCTGAAAACTTCCTTGGCGTGGAACACAGTCTCTGCTTCTTTTTATTCCATACAGCATACACACACTAGTTTCTCAACAATATTTGTTACCAACACGACACACTTTGATCACTGTAGAAAATACTTTACTGGAAGTCAACGCCGGAAAATTCATAATAGGAATCCCAGAAAGTATGTTTATTTAGGGGCATAATTCTTTCTCTTGCTCAAGAAAGATCCCATTTCTCTTTTTTTTTCTTTACTCCCTTTAAGAGAATCCTTGCATTATACATATATATCCTGCATTATCATCCTTACTTACCTCCTAATCACCACTACTTGCCCCATCTGATCCCTTCAATATGCACTTTTCTAAAAATACCACTTGCAATAGCACTGTTTCAGAAAACATGAAATATTCCTCATTGCCTACGGGAGGAAGTCTAATCCCCTGAGCCCAGTAGTCAAGGCTCTACTTGATCTATCCTATCTTTCAAGGTTTATATCTCATTTTGTTACACAAGCTTGCTTTAGTCAAACCTGTGTAGCTCATTCTTCTCTGAGTACATCCTATGCTGTCTCTCCATTTTTGCTTCTTTCTTTTCTGCCTCTTTAAATTTTTCATAATTCTATTCTTTCTTTTACGTACTTTCTCAACCACTGAAGTCTAACAAACCCATTTGGACTCCTCTGAACTTCTTATCATTTACTTCTTATTCCACTCACCTGGCATTAATACACTTGGACTTTAAAAAAAAAACTATCATACTTGATTTTAAAATGTCATATGTATGACATTTGGAGTTCCTAGGTGATACAAACAGTTAAACACTCAGCTGCTAACCAAAAGTTCAGTAGTTTGAGTCCACCCAGAGGTACTTTGGAAGAAAGGCCTGAAGTTTTCGTTGAAAACGCTACGGAGCACAGTTCTACTCTGACACATATGGGGTCACCATGAGACAGAATCAACTTGATAGCAACTGGTTTATGTGTACATTAGAGCTAAGACCCAGCTCCAAGAATACATATGCCTTAATAATTTGGTCTGTGTCCCTGGAAGTACAGATGGTTTGTGTTCAACTACTAACCTACAGGTTGGCATGGGCAGTTCAAACCCACCAAGCAGTGCTGCAGAAGAAACGGCTGGTGATCTGCTTCTGTAAAGATTATAGACAAGAAAACCTTATAAAGCAGTTATACTGTGTAATACTTGGGGTTGCCATGAGTCAAAACCGACTTGATGGCAATGGGTCTTGGTTCGGTTAATAACTGGGTTGATGGATTATTGATAGATTATTAAGAATTAAGTGGATGTGTTCACGTGAGTGCCTGGAGAGGGTGCCTTGAGCACAGTCTTGATGAATGTTAAAGGGGGGAGAGACAAGGAATTTGTAGGGAATTTACAATATTTTCCAACCTTCTACCGTCCACATCAATAGTGAAGTGATATTAGTTTTCCTATTATTTCCAGAAAGACAATGAAGAGAAAAATAAACAGAAGACAAGCAATACAGAGGCTCCTAGCTTTCTGGAAGTCTGTATTTCAAGTAGGCAAGAGTCACAGCTGCCTGAGTTTGATTTGAAGCTACTAGATGCCCATTAAAAAAAAAAATCAGATCTTGTCAAAATACAAATGTCTGTTGTTGTTGTTAGGTGTAGTCGAGGCTGTTCAGCAGAATGAAACACTAACTGGTCCTGCACAATCCTCACAATTGTTGTTATGCTTGAGCCCATTGTTGTAGCCACTGTGTCAGTCCATCTCTTTGAGGACCTTTATTCTTTTTTCCTGACCCTCTACTTTACCAAGCATTATGTCCTTCTCCAGGGACTGACCCTTTCTGATAACATGTCCAAAGTGTGTGAGCCATAGTCAAATATCTAAAATGACACAATTCATTAGAATTGGACTTTTATTCCTATTGAATTAACATACTCTGAGGATAGATTCCATTGAACATTCTCAGTTACTTACACTTTGATGGGAATGCTTCTATCTGCAAGATTTTCTTTTTAATTAAAAGGAAGAGGTTGGGATCTTGGGTGAAGGGTGAGACAGTACACAATACAGGGGAAACTAACACAACCTGTACAAGGAAAGGTCATGGAGGCCCCATGGACAGATGCAAACTCCCCGAGGGACTGAGTTGCTGGACGGAGGGCTCTGGGGACCATGGTCTCGGGGAACATCTAGCTCAATTGGCATGACACTACTTATAAAGATAATGCTCTACATTCTACCTTGGTGAGTAGTGTCTGGGGTCTTAAAAGCCTGTGAGCGGCCATCTAAGATACTCCACTGGTCTCATCTCTTCGGGAGCAAGTGAGAATGAAGAGAAAAGGATACAACGAAAAGATTAGTCCAAAGGACTAATTGTCCACAGCTACCAAGACCTTCACCGGACTGAGTCCAGTACAGCTAGATGGTGCCCGGCTACCACCGCTGACTGCTCTGACCAGGATCACAACAGAGGGTTCTGGACAGAGCTGGAGAAGGATGTAGAGCATAATTCTAACTCACAAAAAAAAAAAAAAAAAAAAAAGACCAGATTTACTGGCCTAAAGGAGACTGGAGAAACCCCGAGAGTATGGCCCCCAGACACCCTTTTAGCTCAGTGGTAAAGTTACCTTCAAGGTTCACTGATCAGCCTGCGAGTGGACAGCCCAGTAAAACCATGAGAGTAACGAGGTACAGGAGTCCAGTGACAAGGCCCAGAAGGCAGAAGGGGAGTAGGAAGCTGATGATAGGGAACACAAAGTAGAGTAAGGATATTGTTGATGTGTTGTGAGATTGTTAACCATTGTCATAGGGCAACATTTGTAGTAACTGTTAAATGGGAGACTATTTTGTCCTGTAAGCCTTCATCTTAAGTGAGAATAACAGCACAATTAGAAGAGCGTAGTCAATGTCACTTAAATGTGTATGAAAAAAAAAAATTTTTGAAATGGCGTATCTTTGGCTATGTGTATTTTCACAAAAGAAAAGAAAAAAAAAGTTGAGAATTTAGAGGGTTAAAATGTTGTGGGGTTGTTAACCAATGTCATAAAACAGCATGTGTGTTACTGTTACATGAGAAACTATCTGTTCTGTAAGCCTTCACCTGAAGTACAATAAAATATTAAAAAAAAAAAAAAGGAAGAGGTTGGGGAGAAAGAGGGAAAGTACTGGGAAGAAAAGAAAGGACAATGAAACCTAGGGAGATGGATAGGAAAAGGAATCAGAATTCAGAAAGTAAAAGCAGTGGCCTAAAGGACACGTTTAGCCACTTTTAAGGTTTTTCTGGGAAATATGGCTACCAAGGCCCAGCAAGTCACATGCTAGGGACCACCTGTTCCTGCTCAGCTTCTATTCAGATGCTAAGAGCTCTGCTCCCTTGGTGGCACTCAAACTTCCATAAAGGCAACAACAGTGACAATGGGATTCACACAGAGAAATGAATAACGAAACTCAGCATGAAAGGGCCACCCCTGATGGAAAAAGAAGCCATGAGATGGGTAAGCCTGGACTACTGACAAGGTTACAAAGTATCTTTTACTCATGATTGTCACCCCTCCCCATAAATCTTATCAGTTAGAACTTGGTGTTTACAAAACACAGAGCTAACACAGGTATATCTCCTTCTTTGATATGGCCTTGAATTAAGTCCAAATCAACAATGGAAGAATTGAAGTCTCTCAACCGAGATCAGGATGGAGAGGGCTCTCTGAAGCTTGTGAGTCTCTCATGCCCACACAGCTCACTGAGAGAGTCTCTGGCTCTCATACAGGAGTGAAACTGTGTAGTTTAGAGTTAGTGACCCCACAATCTGGCCCTTATTTTCCAACTATCCCTTATTTCTTTTTTTTTTTTTTTATTGTACTTTAGATGGTTTACAGAACAAATATTTTCTCATTAGACGGTTAGTATACATATTGTTTTATGACAATGGTGAACAACCCCAAGACATGTCAACACTCTCCCTTCTCAACCTTGGGTTCCCTATTACCAGCTTTCCTGTCCCCTCCTGCCTTCTAGTCCTTGTCCCTGGACTTTTGAGCCCCATTAGTCTCGTTTTGTTTTC